TCCATTCACATGCAAGTCTGCAGAATCAGGTCACATTTTCCAACCACAGGTTTATAGAATCAGGCTGCTTCTTCTGATGCCATTTGCTGCAAATACTGATTCCTTATTGTCCAGTGGAAAACCCAGGCCACAGTGTACCTAGTGTTAGTCACTGTCAACTGGACTTGTTCTGTAATGTTGAAAATGTTTCGCTACCCATCCCAGTAGCATCTTTAGCTTTAATGAGTTTTAGGAACCACAACATTTATAGAGCAATGGTTAACTCTGTTGCCTTAGTCTATAATAAAGCCACATTAAAGCAGGACTAAACTGTATTTGAGCACCACAAAATGAAAATCCTATTTAATTAGTTTTTTTATATTCAACGCAAACTCCCCCATTCATTCAAGCTTTATTTTGTTGAAAAACACTTTGAAAAACACCTCCTAGCATTTTTAGCTGTGGCTACCTTGGGGGCGGATAATTCATGTAGCATTTACTCCCTGGAATCCATCTGTCCTTAACTCAGGCATGCAGGCAGGAAGGTGTGCCTAACTGAAAAAACCCTTTCTCCAGTTGAAAGTAAAAAAAAAGGCCCATGAAGACTCATAGGACATATAACATCATTTTAGCCTAGGCCTGAAACCAGGAAGCAACTGAAGAAATGTAAAGAGAGATAGTCAAAAACAAGTAACACAATATACCTACTTATCTATTTACTAATCCTAGCAGCATCACAAAACTGAGATAGTTTAGTTCTACTTTAAGCTGATTTTGAATTTAAAAAGTAGCATTTTGCTATGTTATAGGGAACATATAGAAATGTTAGTTGTGCCTGAGCAGTACCCTAAAACATTGAATTTAATTTCTCATATCCTCATAACTATTTCTGCAGTGCAAAATCTAAGGCACTGTTGCCTCTGGCTGCTAGACTCCTAAGAATTGAAGTTACCCTTGCTGGAGACTCCGACATGAGACAGTGAAATCCCACCTCTAATAAGAAGGCTGCCTCCATTCAGAACACAGCATGGTAAGTCAATAATGGGAAGCACCGGCTGCAGAGACATCACAAGGAATACTGGTGACTAGTCTTTAGCTCTCTGCCTGTGTTTTTAGGCCATCTTCCAAGTTCAGTTCATTGTTAATGTGGCTCTAAATGCTGGGGTATATTCTTGACATTCATTAAAGTGAGGCAGCTACTTGGGTGAGTAGTGAAATATATTCAACCTTACAAAACAAGTTATTTTAATTATGACCTAGAGTGGTTGTAAACCTCAGACATAGAAATATGAACAAAGCATATCCCTCTATAGTGTGTTTCAAGCAGAGCACCAAGTGTCATTTATGTCTGCTGTTTTATTCCTCTGCTATCAGCACATATCACTTCTGACAAGTTTTCCTGACACCAAGAGAAAAATGGTGACAGGGGAGGGACCTCCAGCAAATTGACAGCCTCAGCTCTGTTCCTGTGAGCTGTGTGAAGTGAAGTATGTCCCTTCTCTCCAATCAGCTCTCAAAACACTCCTCATTGAGCTCTTCAGAGTGTAACGTCAGCTCTCTGCCTCCCTTTTTTAAGAAATCTAGAAAAGCTTTATAAATTCAGCACTTTGAATTGATATATAGAAGAGAAAACTGCAGATGAACAGGTACAACTTTTGTAGGAGGATTTGTTTCATCTCGGTGTATCACATGAGGTCAGTCACAATGGGTATACAGTAGATATAAAAAGTCTACACATCCCTGTTAAAATGTCAGGTTTCTGTGATGTAAAAAAAATTACAAAAACAAATTATTTCATAACTTTTTCCACCTTTATTCTGACTTATAAACTCAATTGAAAAACAAACTTAAAATATTTTAGGGGGGGAAGTAAAAATAAAAAACCTAAAATAACGTCGTTGCATATGTGTGCACACCCTTATAACTGGGGATGTAGCTGTGTTCAGAATTAAGCAATCACATTCAAAATCATATTAAATAGGAGTCAGTACATACCTGCCATCATTTAACATGCCTCTGATTAACCCCAAATAAAGTTCAGCTGTTCTAGTAGGTCTTTCCTTACATTTTCTTAGTCACATCCTACAGCAAAAGCCATGGTCCTCAAAGAGCTTCCAAAGCATCAGTGGGATCTCATTGTTTAAAGGTATCAGTCAGGAGAAGGGTACAAAAGAATGTCCAAGGCATTAGATATACCATGGAACACAGTGAAGACAGTCATCATCAAGTGAAGAAAATATGGCACAACAGTGACATTACCAAGAACTGGATATCCCTCCAAAATTGATGTAAAGACTAGAAGAAAATTGGTCTGGGAGGCTGCCAAGAGGCCAACAGCAACATTAAAGGAGCTTCAGGAATATCTGGCAAGTACTGGCTGTGTGGTACATGTGACAACAATCTCCCGTATTCTTCATATGTCTGGGCTATGGTGTAAAGTGCAAGACGGAAGCCTTTTCTTACGAAAAAAAAAAAACATCCAAGCCTGGCTAAATTTTGCAAAAACACATCTGAAGTCTCCCAATAGCATGTGGGAAAATGTGTTTGGAGAAACCAAGGCTGAACTTTTTGGCCATAAATCCAAAAGATATGTTTTGCGCAAAAACAGCACCGCACATCACCAAAAGAACACCGTACCCACAGTGAAGCATGGTGGTGGCAGCATCATGCTTTGGGGCTGTTTTTCTTCAGCTGGAACTGGGACCTTAGTCAAGGTAGAGGGAATTATGAACAGTTCCAAATACCAGTCAATATTGGCACAAACCCTTCAGGCTTCTGCTAGAAAGCTGAACATGAAGAGGAACTTCATCATTCAGCATGACAACAACCCAAAGCACACATCCAAATCAACAAAGGAATGGCTTTGCCAGAAGAAGATTAACGTTTTGGAATAGCCCAGCCAGAGCCCAGACCTAAATCCGATCGAAAATCTGTGGGGTGATCTGAAGAGGGCTGTGCACAGGAGATGCCCTCGCAATCTGACAGATTTGGAGTGTTTTAGCAAGAAAGAGTGTGCAAATATTGCCAAGTCCAGATGCTGATAGACTCATATCCCAAAAGACTGAGCGCTGTAATAAAATCAAAAGGTGCTTCAGCATTAGTGTAAGGGTGTGCACACTTATGCAACCATATTATTTTAATTTTTTTCATTTTTACTTCCCTCCACCGAAAAGATTTCAGTTTGTTGTTCAACTGAGTCAAACAATTTATAGGTTACATTAAAGGTGGAAAAGTTCTGAAATGATTTATCTTTGTCTCATTTTTTACATCACAGAAACCTGACATTTTAACAGGGATGTGTAGACTTTTTATATCCACTGTATGTAAGGGCTTACAACCACTTTAATACTATTAGTTATATGATGGCCTAGATAAATGAGAACCTACTAAACCCACAACAGTAAAATCAGTCTGTATATCCAGTAAAGCTTTTTATACTCACTGTGGAACCTAAGGGGTTAATCCTCCGCATTGTGTAAAAAGGCTGTTTGATCCTGTCTTCTCTGATCTTCCCCTTCTTCCAGTATCCCCCTCTTATCTCAGGATAAGACATATCATGTGGAGTAACTCTGCACATGCTCAGTTTGGTGCGTATTGCTAGAGAGGTTTTTTCTTTTCTTGGGAGAGTGCATGTGATCAGCACAGGGCCAATCTGCACTGTCCAGACAGAGGTCAGGGATTTTGCATCCCCCTAGAACAGAATTAAAACTCCTCTAAAAGCTTTAACATGTGCTCTGCTGGATACTGATAGAAGTCACAAGACTGTTCTAAATGCTGATGAAAAAAGGTATTTAGCAGTTTATATTTACTAAAATAATTGAATTTCCATGTTGTGTGCACTGTGGGAGACCAGATATAGTGAATGCAGGGTCCTGGGTTTAGTAACACTTTAACAGAAACCATGTTTCAATGACATAGTATAGCAAATTTTACAGCTGTCAGAGGAAATTCTCGTTTATGATATCTGCTGCTTACATAATAGATTTTATGAATGATTTGCCCATTGCTCCTGTGCACTGACACCTGGAAAATGAGGAATTATTCCTACAAATTTGCATTTGCTGGTAAGTGGTCCCTGCTGCTAATACAATGTTATGACTTCCCTGAAAGTACTGAGCAAATGGCAACGACTACAAATGAATTCTGGCAAAAAACAAAAGTGCCAACATTCACTTGTTCCAGGGGGTATAAAATGTAAAATGTTTGATCTGATATCTCTGAACAGGGAATTTTCATCATTCAGACAATTATCACATTAGGACCCGCAGTCAGTGACACATGATGGACATTATATAACTTCCTACTTCCAGCAAAAAATCTCCTTTGCAGTTCTGGGATGTCATGTGACCAAATGCTGAGCGCCACGAAGGAAGTGGATACTGAAAGATGTAAAAAGGTCAGTCACGGTAAGCCATCTGCTTTACAATTCTCACCATGCCCACCAGTCTATGAGGTAGATCAGTAGATCGCTGGTGCCATGCAGGTCTCCTGCAGACCTGTCAGAATATCTGCTTGCTGCACGGTATGTACGGTCAAGCAGATATACTGACAGGAAGCTTCCATGAACTACTACTGGGCTCCACAGCACGGTGGTAGTTCATTGAAAACTACAAGCACATAGCCACTAAGGCTTTTGGGACTTGTAGGCACTCTTTCACAGAACACTGAGAATGAGTGACGAGGCCGCGTGGGGGTGGGGCCCCGCACGGCCACGCTGTTTTCAAATCTGACAGATAGTACAGGGAAACTGTGGGCTGGGGCTATGTAACATGTTCCAAAGGTGAACTTATCCGTTAAAGCATACATTTACTTCCTTTGACCATAAATCACATACAGTAAGTGTGCTCCCTATATGCTGATATCAAATCATCTAACATTCTTTTTCTTTTTTTTTTAACCACCTCCCGCCCACGATATAGTAATATGATGGGCGCAAGGTGGTTCTCTTGTTCTGAGAGGACGTCATATGATGTCCTCCCATTCTCACTGCGCATGCGCGGCTCAGGGAGCGGCGATCGGCGGTGCGCTGTGTCCCTCGGACACAGCGGATCACTGATCACGGAAAGAGCCGAAGATGTCGGCTTGGTCATGTGATCAGCTGTGTCCAATCACAGCTGATCACATGTAAACAGGGAAATGCCAGTTATCGGCATTTCTCTCCTCTCAAGCTGTCACACTGACAGCTTGAGATGAGAGGAGAGCCGGTAATCGGCTTTCCGTGGAGGGGACATGTACACTGATCATCAGGGCACTGATGATCAGTGTGCCCTGATGATCAGTGTAGCCCCAGCAGTGCCACCTGTCAGTGTCCATCAGTGCCTTACGTCAGTGCTCATCAGTGCCTCGTGCCAGTGCCCATCAGTGCCACATATCAGTGCCTACCAGTGCACATCAATGCCACATATCAGTGCCCATCTGAGCTGCCTTTCAGTGTCATCCATCAGTGCCAGTCAGTGCCACCTATCAATGCCAATCAGTGCCACCTATCAGTGCCAGTCAGTGCCGCCTATCAATGCCAATCAGTGCCACCTATCAGTGCTGCCAATCTGTGCCACCTATCAGTGCCAGTCAGTGCTGCTTATTAGTGCGCATCAGTGCCGCCTATCAGTGCCGCTATCAGCTGCATATCAGTGCCATATATCAGTGCTGCCTTTCAGTGCCCATCAGTGATGCCTGTCAATGCCCATCATTGCCACTTACCAGTGCCTCCTCATCAGAGCCACCTATCAGTGTCCATCAGTGCAGCTTATCAGTGCCCATCAGTGCAGCCTCATTAGCACATATCAGTGAAGGAGAAAAATCACTTATTTACAAAATTTTATAACAAAAACTAAGAAAAAAATATTTTTTCAAAATTTTCAGTGGTTTTTGGTTTAAGAAAAAATAAAAAACTCCGAGGTGATTAAATACCACCAAAATAAAGCTCTATCTGTCACAAAAAAATGATAAAAATTTCATATGGGTACAGTGTTGTTTGACCGCGCAATTGTCATTCAAAGTGCGACAGTGCTGAGAGTTGGAAATTGGCCTGGGCAGGAAGGGGGTATAAGTGCCCTGTAGGCAAGGGGTTAAACTATTTTTGCTGTTACATGTCCTACTTCCTGGTTCTTTTTAGGCACTAGTGACCCAGCCAGGACTTGACAGCTGCACCCAGGAAAGCTACATCAGAAAGATCTTGTTTTCGACATGCGAGATCTAATAAAATTGTTATTATGTGTTCTCATGGCTTTGTCAACATGAATGTGGTTAGTGTAATGCTGTTTATGCGTTGGTAATGTGATAACAGTAACAGCTACAGATTCATGCTGTACATCTGCAAAATCTTAAGATGACGCCATTGGTGGGCCAGCAGAAAAAGCGCAGAAGAAAAATCGTCCTACCAATGACACCAAGAAAAATGGCGGCACACGTTGGAAGGAGGAGGAGATCAGGGGCACTAGTATGCAGGTATACAGAGACAAATCTGGCAAGTAACTATTATTAAATGTGGTTTGTTTGCCACAAGTGTTACACTAATGGTGGCAGTTTTATTATTACTAAGGGATGTTAAATGACACAAATCTGTATATATTTTTATATTATATATCTTCCTGATATCATACGTTGTAGGTGATTGGCCAGTCCCTGTATGGTATGCATGTTATTTTATGTGTAGCCCTCGTAAGGGCCACTGGACTTGGTTTGGGTCTGCTTATGATCTACGCGGCCAGGCAACATGCATTTTACAATCTGCACACTGGAGTCAGTAAACAGTCCTTGAGGTTATTTTTGTGATTTTATTAAGGGGTTAAACTTGGGTGGGTTCTAGGGGTATATGGAATGCCTGAGGAACTGTAGAATTTGAGGACAACTCCTTAGCAACTATGTACAGCAACCCTCAAGGAGTGTACAATCTAAGGTTCCTAACTCGCATTCAAACATGAGGAAACCCACGCAGGCACAGGGAGAATATGCAGACCCCGCGCAGGTAGTGCTGTGGCTGGGATTCAAACCAACAACCCTCATTGTAATGACTTATTACTTGCTCCATTTCACAGTTTTTTTCTTTTCCAGATGGATACATCTTCCACTCTCATCTAAGAAAAGTATCATCTCTGTTCTATTTCATACTGACATATTTTGATTGGGTGTTGCAACTCAGAAGTCTTCAAACTGGCTTGCCATTCAGCAATTAGCTGAAGGAAATCCCCCAAAAGAACATGATACCAGTGGCTGTTTCATTTTATTCTTGAACTTTTAATTTAAGAGGGCGCTGTAGATGATAAGACATAATGAAACCCCTAAGATTTTTCCTAAACTGATATTCTGTATACAGTGTGCTGTTTTTGGCCATAATCTGATTCCTTTATTGATTTTCTAAAAGCCAATAAGAAATGTACAGCTGGAAGCCAACTAGTTGCTATGGACAGCAAAAATACTCTGCATTATACATATTAGGACCATTTGTCTTAAAATGTTGGCTAACAGGAGAGGTACTGTAGCATAATGATTAAATGTTTTAGCACATCAGTTCATGCCCTCATAGTTTACCATCTGTGATTGTAGTAAGGGCATGCTATGAATATGTAGACATAGAAAAAGAAGTGCAGATTTTTAATATTTCTTGTTGTTTGTGCTATTTAAACTACTGGAATAAAAAAAAAATCCAGCAATCTGTTTATCAGCAGATGGCTGTTTCCCAAAGGTCCATAAAGCCCAATACTGCATAAGCAAGAGGTTATATAAAAAAAAGGATTATCATTTTTAAAAAACACACAAACGGCAGATATGACAAATATGCCTAAATCAATATCATAGTATTAAACATGACATAGATCTGCCAAATTAAAAAGCAGATATAAAGCTCTATAAAGATCATATTTTTTGTGACTGGCCCACAGTTGACCATAAACACTGTGACTTGACATACATAGGTATGCATATTTAAATTGGATAACATGCATGTCTATAGGGTTGATTCAGTAAAGGAAAATAAGCTGCTCACTTTGCAAGGGAATTTGCCCCAGAGCTTAGTGAATGAGATGAAGCTCTGCTAAATTCCACCATCCAATCATGTGCAAGCAAAAAGGCATTTTTCTTCTGTTGCATGCATGTCTATAGGGTCAGGGTCTTCTTTAACACGGGGCATAAGGGACAGCTGCCCTGGGCCCAATCATTATTGTGGGGCCCAAAGCAGCTGCCCCTTGAGCCCCTTTTCACTGAGAGTCTGGTGGCGGCGGGAAGCAGGGTAGCTTAGCTAAATCTGGTGCCGATAGCAGCGTCCTCGGAGTACAGGCAGGATGACAGTGCCTTGCTCCACAAAGCAAGCGGCTGGCCCCGAAGTCAGAGGCCACAGGGAAGACAAGCAGCACGAGAGTGGCTAGGACTGAGAGCCCGGGAGGGAGAAGACCTCCACCAGTTCCCTGACTGAAGGGAGCATCACAGGGCGCACCATTCCCGGCATCTCTCAAAGACTGGACTCCTTATTCAACCTCCTCTCCGCTCCCAGCTCTGACATCAACAGAGGACAGGCTAACCAGGGGCCCTGTACAGAGGAAGAGGACAGGTGGGAGGTAAAGGTCCTATGCATCACACTCACCTACCCACAGACTGGGGGGCACCGGAGAAACTGCAGACAGGGGCAGGTATAGGGGTCGCTCTCTCACCCCCCTCTTTCCCTCACCCTCTCTCACCCCCTCTCTCTTTTTCACCCCCCTCATCCCCCCTCTCTCACACCCCTCCGTCTCCCCTCGCTCCCCTCTCTCTCTCCCACCCCCCTCTTTCTTTCTCAATCCCCCTCTCGCTCTCTCTCTCTCTCTCTCTCTCCGATCCTCTCTCTGCCATCCCCTCTCTCTTCCCCCTCTCACCCTCCATTTTCACCCCACTCCCTCTCTCTCATCCCAATCTTTCTCTCATCCCCCCTCTCTCTCATCCCCCCTCTCTCACACCCCTCTCTCCCATCCCTTTCTCTCATCCCCTTTCTCTCTCTTCCCACCTCTCTCACCCCCCCTCTCTCTCTCATTCTTCCTCTCTCTCCACCCCCCTCTCTCATCCCCCTCTCTCTCTCTCGCCCCCCCCCTCACCCCTCTCTCTCACTCCCTCCTCTCTCTTAATCCACTCCCTCTCTCTCATTCCTCCCCTCTCTCTCAATCCCTCCACTTCTCAATCCCCCACTCTCTCTCCCCCTCTCTCTCTCCCCCTCTTTCTCTCCCACTTTCTCTCTTCTCACCCCCCCACTTGCATCCAGACAGGGCAAACAGAGTGGCCACTGAATGACAGGTGACAGAAAGTGAGTGTTACTGATCCCATACCCCATGCACTGCCAGTCATCCCATCAACCCCTCAGCACTGCCACTGATTACACTCCCCCTTCCCAGCATTGCCCTTAATCTCACCCCCCCAACACTGCCACACATTCAACCCCTCCCCCCCCAGCCTTAGCAACCAATGGGTGAGCGGTAATGATGTTCAGTAACCTCTAGCCGATCAACAAGCAGAAATGATGTGCTGTAACCCCTGGCAAGCAATCATGATCACTGTCTGATCTGCTGCAGTAGACAGATTTTGAGTCTAGTTGCTATTTATTGTATCTTAGAGCAGGTGGAGAGCGAAGTTGTATGTGAGCAGGGGGAGGGTGGTGGACGGGGGGGCCTAAGAACATCCAATCAATATTAAAGACGGCCCTTTATAGGGTTGATTCAATAAAGGAAAATAAGCTGCTCACTTTGCAAGGGAATTTGCCCCAGAGCTTAGTGAATGAGATGAAGCCCCCTGAATTCCATCATCCAATCATATGCAAACAAAATTAAACTCTCTTGCAAAGTCCATTGCAAAGTGAACATCCCATTTGCCTTTAGTAAATCGACCCTTACGCGTTCATTATACAACCCCAAGACTGCAGACGAGGAAAATGCAAAAACAACGTGTCAAGAACCATTTAGGATAAACCAGCAGTTTAGTTTAACAAAACGAATCACTTTGATTTTAAACAAGAACTTGGCTAAATCTATATGTACTTTGAAACCAGTGTACCTTACTGATCCCACCAAAGGTCTGATATATCAGAACAATACACTTTACTGGCAAAGTCAGTGCTAAAAACTGCACAGTTCAGACCTTTCTCATGCTTCCTCAGCAGCCCCATTGTCAAAAGATATTTTACTTACTTTTGATTATATTACATTACAGTTGGCTGAGTTGATTACCAACGCTGGAAAAAGTTGTTTTGTTTTAGTTTCAGATGCATTGGTTATGTAGAAATTTTATTTATTTGTTTCCGTTGTGTTGGTCCATTTCATTTTCAGGGTTTGCTTTGTTTCTTTAGGATTTGTTTTCTATACAGTATTCGTTATACCAGGTGGATTCTAAAGGTTTTCTAATCCATCCGGTATAATTTTGGAAGGATCTGAATTCATTATTAATATCTGCGGTCGCCGGATCCTTAACAACCATGACTCATCTGCCATCACTGGGATTCTCTGCTGCTTTGGGGGAGGGGGGCAACCCCCATGTTTACCTGTCAACTGATGATCGACGTGTCCTGTGAAGAGACACTCACCCAATAACAGGTAATGATAGATTCCGATAAGCCCCCCCGCAGACCCCCAGAATGTCTG